ATCTCTGCTGGGTTCAGTACTTCACTGCAATGGCCATACAGAATTCACTGATAATACCCATGATGATGAGGTTTATTAGGGAAGTAACAGGTTACCACTCAGGATCAGAACCAACTTAGGATTCAGGACAGCCTTTGATTAGGATGGCTTCTTCTCAGCAGTGCCCACAGGCAAATCTCTCCCTGGCCCTCAGTCTCTTGGCCTGGCCTCTGCCCTGCTTGCACAATGTTACAAAGCTCTTTAGGTCCACTGACAAATGCCCAAAAGCACCCCACTCCACCAGCAAGCAATCTTTCCAAAGGCACTGAGCGCTTTCACTTTTTTGCACAGGTCAGAACACCCACTATGACTGTCTTGCTTTGTGTGCCAGGAAGCCCACTACACCCTTTTGTGCTGTCTCCTGTTTCTGAGGCTGCCAGTTCTCTGCTACCTCTTCTCATTACACTGTGCAGCTCTCCCTCTTCTTCTGTATCTTGGAGGTTATCAGCACAGAGAGCTCAGACAACATCACTTGCTCCAATCCCAACTCCACATGGAGGTAGTGAGTCCCAACCGACCTTTCCACCTCTAGGATGCCTCATTTTAAGCCTAGAAAAAAGGGGGAAAAGACCAATACTCTTGCTGGGGTTCTATACACTTTCTTTGAATTATTAGCAAGCTGCCCAATCCCTTGAACAAGTTATTCAGTGGAGTTACAAGATCATGGCTAGAAAGGCCATGTAAAAGCTATCCACTGCACTAAACCAGTGACGATAAATCATTATTCTAGAGTTCTTAAACCCTTAAAAAAAAAAAACACAACATTATTTTAGATTTTATGTATAGTGTCAAGTGTATTAAACTCTTAAAAAGCTCACTGAATTGTTTACAAACGCAAAAACCCTTTTCTTATGATATAATTCACTGCCAAGTGCCAATAGCAAAATGTGTCCCCATTAGCTTGCCAACAATAAGCAACAATGACTTCCTATTCCAGTTACAAGAAAATCTAAACCCATTAGCAAAGGCTTAAAAGCCTGCACAATCTAGTCCTTGCCTATTGCCTCCTTGTCACCATGCCCCTCATTCACTCAGCAAGAGCAACACTGGCTGCTTTCAGGTCCTTGAATCTGGCATGAGCACCTTGTCACATTCTGTTCTCCTCACCTAGAAGCTAAGTGTCAGTACAACAAAGAAAGGTGAGCAGTAGATCATTTTAGCCCCTGATGAGTCTGTGAGAAACTCCATGAAAAAGCACACCTGAGATTAGTATTCTGGATGTCAGGGGCATATCTTTCACTGTTAGGTTGTGGAACAGCAGAAAAAGAAATGTTCCTTGTACTTTGCCATGACTGTCATGGCAGACAATATTAGAACTTGAATGGAAACAGGAGTTGATTAAAAATCCTCAAATGGATTCTAACCTAAAGGAAATAGGAAACAGATTTAGTTCTAATAACAGGGAAGGTCACTTCCACTCCAGAACAAGTGTATCAGCAAAGTACAAGAAAATCGGACAGACTGGTAGGATGGGGAGGGCCAGCAGGTAAAAGCAGTCAGCTTCATCTGTGAAACAGGGTTAACAGCTGCAAAGAGAAGAAACTGCCATCAAAGAAAAGCATAAAGGATAGAGAAATTACTCCTCTATATATTCCTGTCATTCATATGTACAGAATCCATTCATTATTCAACAGTTATTGCCTGTACAAGACTCTCAAGGTGTTCGGTCTAACAGGGATGTGCACATGTAAGTGATGAAGTGCAATAAACCGTTATTATTTCTACAATGGAGTCCCGGTGTGGCACTGTACAATTGCTCGCTTTGAACCACAGATTGGCGGTTCAAGCTCACCAGATGCTCCTTGTAAACCCTATACAGGGTCGCTATGAGTCAGAACTGACTCAATGGCACTTAACAACAGTTCTATAATAGAAACCAAAAGAGACATAAAGATAGTGGTTACTTCTACCTACAGGACCCAAGAAGGGCTTCAAGAAGGTACACTTGGAAGTAAAGTCTTTAATCCTCTGTATGCTAAAATAAAATTAGATACTAGAACCCTGATACTTTTGTTGACTCTTAAAATTGATTGTTTGTGAAATGTTCATTTCTCTGTTTTGTACTTTTGTGTGTTCCCACCCCTCCCTCTCTCCCATGTGGTTCTATGAAATTGCATGACTTACAAAAAAGTACATATCCACTATAAGACACTATTTATGACTGTATGGAAATGTATACGTGGGCCTTCATTTTTCCCTAATATTTATTATATGGTGGTGGTGGTTACGTGCCGTGGAGT